CCTCCCGACGTTCTGGGGCAAACTGCCTTTTCCTCTACTTTACTGGTCTGATGTTAAGCCTATGGACTGCAATTTTATGGTCTATCCCTGACATATCCTCAACCTTCCAGGCAAAAACGTCAATGTTGCGAGATAAGCAACCAACAAGTTCTGTCTTTAGGGTGACGTCAAGATCCCGACCAATAGTCACCTTCTTATCATGCTCGAGCTCAATTTCCATCAATTCTTCGACAGGGGCAAGTCTGACTTGCTACCCGTCCTCGGGATCCATCCTCGAGATTTGCATGACGTTGTTATTTATTTCCCGAACGCTGGCAACATAGCATTGTCTGGCAGCTGTCTGGTCTCCACGGACGACCCCAACGCCATTACTTGTTGGAAACTTCATGGCCAGGTGGAAGGTAGACACAATGGCTTTAATCTTGTTCAGGAGTGGTCTTCCCAGAATAGCGTTATCGGCCACTGAGACACGTACCACTTGGAAAGATGTCATCTCCGTAACCTGTTTTTGGCTAGAACCTAAAGTTAGAGGGAGCTCGACGACACCCTCTGGAGTGATGACTCCTCCCCCAAACCCCTGGAGAGGAGTTTTAACCGCTTTGAGCTGTTGAGATGAGATTCCCATTTTGGCAAAAGCTTCTTGTGAAAGTATATTGGCCGCACTCCTGTTGTCAACCAAGATCCTCTTTACTTCAAAATTGGCCAAAATCGCTGAGATTACCAAGGCGTCATCATGTGGGAGTGATACGCCTTCTAAGTCTCCGGTCCCAAAAGTAATATCCTCCAACTTTCCATGAGGCATCCCAGAGGCCAAGGCATATCGTCGGGCATATTGTTTTCTTCCACTGTTGGAGTCTCCTCCCGAGGCAATACCTCCAATGATGATATTGATGGTTCCAGCAGTGGGTTGACCATCCCTTTTTGCCTCAGGGTCTTTTTCCCTGCCACGATCATTCCTCGGGCATTTGTCGTTACCGACGTAGGAGCTCAGGAGTCCTCTTTTAATAAGGGCTTCAATCTCCCGTTGCAGGGCCTTACAGCTCTCCGTGATATGCCCATGATCCCGATGGAACTCACAGTACTTGTTCATGTCCCTGGATTCGGGTGGTGACCTCATTCTGACAGGCCATTTCAGTTCTTTCATATCCTTGATCTCTATCAATATATTGGTCTTTGATGTATTTAAACGCGTGAACGGCGTCGGAGGAACCTCCTGTCTCTGTTTTTTTCGATGTTGTTCTTCACGGGGGTTTGGGTCCTGTGGTCTTTTATGCTCGAACCTATCATGGGATGGTCCAACCTTTCTCAGGTTCAGTGTTTCCTCCATATTTATGTACTTCTCGGCTCAGGTAAGAAGCTCGGTGACTGTCTTTGGTGGAGTTTTGGATAAAGACATCTTGAAAGCCTCGCACTTTATGGCATATGTGAGGGCAGAAACTGCTGCAGTTATGTGTAGGTCGGGAATCTGAAGTCTTTCCTTGTTAAACCTGGTCATGAAGTCACGCAGGGTCTCATTTTGCCCTTGTCTAAGTTGCATGAGGGAAGCCGCTGTCTTCCTGATGCGTTTGCTGCTTGCGAAGAAAGCGGAGAACTTGTCTGCCAAATCCGAGAATGAGGCTATGGAGTTGGACTCTAAGGTTGAGAACCAATCCCTAGCAGCATTCGTCAAAGTTTGCGGGAAGGCCTTGCACATCACCTGATCTGGTGCAACCTGTAGATTCATGACGTCCGTGTATATGTTCAGATGATTGATTGGATCGGTGGTCCCATCATATTCTTTGATACTAGGATACTTAAATCTGTCTGGCAAGGGGAATGTTAATATCTCGGGAGTAAATGGAGTGTTGGGACTGAATCTTGTCGTCCCTTTGTTGCCCTGAAGTAGGCCCGCCGTAATTCCTTCTTGAATAATCCTAGCGAGTTCCCCGGACTCCATGGTCACTGATCTCGAGGCCGAGGTCACATGTGGTATACCCGAGGCCTCTGCTCCGCCATTGTCAGGGACATGAGCTCGAGTTCGAGCATCAGCCATAAAACCCCCCGGGGTACCGGTGTGGGTGACGGAATCGAATTTCTTTGGCTTAGCAGCTGAGTCAGTGTGGCGACCTGTTGTCTGAGCTCTTCAAAGGCTCCAGCAGTGACGACTGCCGGCTGGGGCTCTGACACTTCTGATGATTCCTCTTGAGGAACAAGGATATCCTCAAGAGGGGGTTGGTTTGGAGCGGATGAGCTTGCTGGTAGAAGACCTGAACGTGTGTTTACCATGGCTTTTGGTAGTGTTTCCAACAGACGGCGCCAATGATGCTACCAAAAATCGTACCTGTAGATTTTTCGAGCTTGATGACTGATGAGGAGCACGAACGTGATCTTCCGATACCTGAAACAAAGGCAACGAGGTGTGTTCTCGTTGCCCCTCCGATGCTTAAGTCAGAAAGGAAAATATATGCGTGAGACTATGTGCTGAAGAACAATGAAAAACGTACCTGAATAATGGCCCAAGGTTCTGCTTTTATAGGAGTAGGTAGTGTACTCCTAGTAGGATTGTGTTGGTTGGATGTTTTTATCCAAGGGAATTTCTGTTTATAAAGAGTGTCCTGCTTGTAATGGAATTGTTTGACAAGCGGTGTCAGGGTTGATGTAGAATCCTTGGGTGTTTAGGTTTGTTTGTTAGGTACCCAGGTCTTAAGAGGCATGTTGGTGGTGTATGTCCCGAGGACTATTCTCGAGGACTTGAGAGAATGTAAATATGTCCTAGAGATATCTCGAGGACTACGATACCTCGAGGACTTAGGGAGACCCGAGGACCATAGCAGAGAAATGAGATGGGGTATACATGGAGTTCTCGGGATAAACTCCTCGGGGTGTATCAATATTGGCATAGTTAGTGTAATTTCAAGATGAAATAAAAAAAAATTGGTTATAACTAAACAAATTAAATAGGAGTACATTAATAAATGAAAAAATTAAAATATTCTCAAAAGAAAAAGGGCTATACGATTGGAATAAGAAATCAGGAAATTTGGCCGGTGGATAATATCTTATTGTGAAATTAATGTGTCCAACACGCTAGCTCGATGTAGCATCCCAAGAGACATAACCATTTACTTTAGTCCTTGGCATTAATAACTGTATTTACTTGTAATTGTGGAGCATCATGAATCGTATTAACTACTCAATTTACTTGCAATTGTGGAGCATCATTAATTGCAGATCTTGGATCTCACCCATAATAGTCTTAAATTTTTTCTTACCCATCAAGTCAGCTTTGTCTCCTGTCAAAAGTTAAAACGTTGACCCAAAGTTTTATTTATATCTAATAATTTTAATGTTGTGATATTTTAAACATGAAAATTGATTTGTTTCAATGATTTAAAAAAATATATAAAAAAAAAAGGTTGAAACCCAACTTTGAGGGTCCCACCTCCAGTCCCTGGAGCTTTGTGAAGGGGTAAATCGCAGAATATGTCACAGTAGACCAGAGAATAAGAGTTATCTGTACACTGCGCCTATAAAAAGTCTAATTCCATGCCTCAAGAATCGAACTCCCAATTAAAATGAGACCTGACATATGTTGACTCACGAGCCAATTGACCAAGCTCAAACTCCTCAAAAAGTCGAGTATGGATGATAATGGGACGAATCAAGAACGGGTCAAGGTGTCTCGTGTCCCACCCCATTCCCCGTTTAAGGCGGGGCTCACTGTGACATGTCGCCTGCTTTATTTTTTTTTTAGGATAATTTGAAATTTGTGTTAATGGACTTTAGTAATTGATTTTGTTTTGACCATAAAAATGTTGGACTGAGATTTTTTTTTTTTTTTTCAACTTCTTTCAAAATAAATAGATAGTCGCTTCGTCAGCACGTTCAGGAGGGGAATTTCAGCCTCATTCAAGGCTGGACACCATTAAACACATGTTTTTTGAGTCAAATTACAATCCCTACACCGAGATTGAAGAGCTAGAGAGCTGCTCGGACATTCCAGTCCCTACTTTCAAATAAGAACTTTGTCATTTGTATACTGAATTTTGTACACTTTAATTGATGCTTGTATTGTTGTCAACAATGTATTGAATGAAAAAATTACTAAAATTTAAACCGTTCAATCAAGTAATGTCATGTGGTAAGATATAAACCAAAGTATAAATTTAAAAAGGTTCTTCAAATAAGTCCAACATGGATTGGCGTGCAGGAAGAACTGTATCCCAGTAAGTCATTAATCGAAACCAAAGGCTTGGATCTCCCCAAGACACTATGGTACCACGAATTTCGCCATTTGTACACTCTTGGATTATATCATTGTTTACATTTCCTCTGTTTTTCAAAAATTGTTTCGACGGGAAAGCTGTTTTTTATATAAGTTAATAGCAAATTGTCAAAGTTGGTGTACAATAAGCATGGTTCATGGTACCACCCATGTGATTCCCTACGATGTGCCACCAGTAGTAGTATTTTAAAAAGCGTAAACTGTGGCTAGACGTGAGGTGAAACTTCAAACTTTAAAAGCCTAGGTAAGGTTTAGACGTAAAAAAACATTTTCTTATTTTTAATATTATTTTATATTTTTAAACATTTTTGAAAATCATTTAATAAATAAAATAATGCACATCAAATATATAGAATAATAAAATATTATATTTACTTAATAATTATTACAATTAGTCAATTATACAATTTTCAAGTTTTAAAAATGTAAAAATTAAAATATTTTTCATAATTTGAATTTTCAATTAGACAAGTTCTATAAGAACTTCATAAATGCTTTTTGAATTTGTAATAAAATAACGAGTCTCAATATCATAATTACATAACATGAATAACACCATAACTTAAATCTTATTTAATTATTTAGATAAAATTATTTTTAATTTTTGTACAGAAATTAAAGTCAAATGAAAAGTTTTTAAAAAATAAAAAAATTAATAAACTAAAGTTGAATAAAAGACTTTTTAAAAAATAAAAATTACGCCTAGGAAAGACGAAAGAGGGGATGGAAAAAATTCAACGGTTTAAAGCATATACGTATGGTGCACTCTACAATTGCCCAACTCTCTTTATATCGCTTTCTCTTTTCCATTTCCTCTCAATTCTCTCTACATTTTTCAGAGAAGAGGAAGAAGGGAAATTTCAAAATTCATGCAAAAAATGGCGAAATTGTTTGTACTTTTAGCTCTGTTAATGCTGCCGGCTATTGCTAGTGCACACTTCGCCGGCAACCCATTTCTTGTAACGGGGATAGTATATTGCGATACTTGCCGCTGTGGGTATGAGACCTACGCCAGTAAAGTCCTCGCTGGTAACTGCCTTTAACTCAAACACACAGTTACACACACAATGTTGTACTATTATTTGTTCGAGATCTGTATGTTTTATGGAAAATTTGTTGCTTTTGTGTAGCAGAAAGTTAGGGAATCTCCCAAAACACAATTTTGCACCATAATGGTGCAAAATGCCTCCAATGTTGCACCATAATTTGGACCATTTTGGTGCAAAATGGTGTAAAATTTGGTGCAATACTATTCATTCATTTGCACCTTGCCCTTCTGTTTCATTTTTCAAACATATTATTTAGGGATATTTGTTTCATTTTTGTTATATATTTTTTTAAAAAATAAATTATTATTATTATTATTATTATTATTATTATTATTATTATTATTATTATCAATAATAATTAAGAATTTTTTTAATATATTAATTATTTTCGTCAACTTAACGTAATACATTAAGCAAGTGAATAATTTAATAATCAATAATCCAATATTTTCGTTAACTTAAGGTAATTATTTATTTAGTAATTTATGTAGTTGTAAAATAAATAAATAAATATTTCTTTTCAAATACATAAATTGTTAAGAATTGAAAAAATGAAGAAAATTGTTCATTTGGTGGAAGTTTTGGTGTAATGGGTTGGAGATGATATTTAGTTTGGTCCAAGATTTAGTGTAAAATGGTGTAAAACTTACCTCAAATTTTAGTGCAACGTTGGAAGTGGTCCTAGGTACAATTTGGGTTGAAAAGTAACGGAAAGGACTAAATTGTTATCAAAATCTTTTAAGTAAAACTCACCCTTAAAATCAACCTACATAATGCAATTAAAGTCCTGGGATTCCATTAAGGTTGATGTTACTGAGTATTATTTGGGAAGCAGCCCTCTTTAGACTGGGAATGGAACCATGCCTTGAATATCTATTATTACACCTACATTGGAGGGTAATTAAGTAGTTACAATCCAGCAGAGCCCAGGCTTTGCTTGGCATTGCAAAGATGGTAATAGATTTTGAACCATGTATTAGATTTTCTCTGTAATGGTGGAATTTGATCTATTTGATGCGAAGTATAGTGTGTCATAACCATAATCTGTTGTTTTCATAGAAGTTGTTAAACTTGGTGTTCTAGCTTCTAAGTGGCGATCTATTTAGATTACTAGGATTGGACTATTGGATGACAACATTTTACCAAACACGAAGCTGACTTATTCTAAATTACTGTGACAAAGAAGATAAGAAGAAGCAAAAGATTAGCGATTGAGCTACCGGGCTGGACGTTAAGGCAACAACATATGAGCCAAAAGTAGCCACAAAAATTAAAAGAAACATTGGAGTGAAATAGGATCCCAAGGTTAACTACATATTGGCCAAATTGCCCAACCTTTTTCCTCCATCCCACTGACTCATGCTCAGAGAGAGAGAGAGAGAGAAAAAAAATGAAGACCAAAAATAGGGTCCCAAATAAATTTTCCTCCTTGGGACTCTATTAACGATTGCACAATCCAACTATCAACATGCCCCAAAATACCTGCCAAAAGAAAAGGAAGAAAGAACGAAACATTGAACCAAGAAGGATTTTATGGTCTATGAGTAATCGTACAATTCTACAAGCTATCGTACAGTATAAATCTACAATTGAAATCCAATATCAGATGATCCTACTGTGGAAATTTGATGAAATCAAAATTTAGTCATGGTTGAAGGATATCCTGTCCCAAAATTTCTTGTTTTAATTCATTTTCTCTACATCATGATGAAGACCCTTTTTATTTTCAACGGTATTACACCATTCACTTGAATCCTTCTGAAAACATGTAATGAACTTCTAAATTTTTTCCAATTCACTTTCCGGCAAGCATGGAAGTTAGCCACACACTAGTTATATGTGAAAAAGAAAGAAAGAAAAGGATTGACTTTGAAACATTTTTCCTTTACTCCTTCCCATTTGCCATTAATTTGATGAAGTGGGCTCAAAGTGTTCTATACAACACAATGGATAAATGTTAGGGTCTAATAGTTATGAGATTTAATCACTCTCAAGCTTGGATTTTTGGGAGAGATGGTTGGATCCCTATCAATTGGTATCAGAGCAAACCAATGTTACAGGTTTGAATCCCGGAAGTGGCGATCTAAGTGAAGTGTCGAATACCAGCAGCCAAAGAAGGGCCGTCTAGGTAAAGAGAAGGTTGTCTTGGAATGGGCTGTCGTGGACGTCGGATTTGGGGCTGTGGGGGTATTGTTAGGGTCTAATAGTTGTGGGATTCAATAACCTCCAAGCCTGGGCTTTTGGGAAAGATGGTTGAGTCCCATCAATAACCTAGAAGTTCTGAATCTAAGAATATTGATTATTTTGTAGAAGTCCTAAATTGATGAAAATGTACGTGGTTCAAAAACTATAGCATTCAAAAGTCAAATTGCTCACTTGTTTTTATTATGACATCATTTTTCCCTTTTCTCAAATTTGCTATTTATCATCATTTTTTCCTTTTTCTCAAATTTGCATTTGTGTGACTCCAATATCGCTTCATTCCGAGAAGACAATTTTTTACGAGGCATTTCATCCGACATTTTTTTGTACTTGTCCATCTCACTGATGCATTTGTACTTGTACTTGACAGGTGCTGCAGTTATAATTCAGTGCAAAAAAAATGACAAGCTCACATACCAAATTGAGGGTGTGACTGACTCAACCGGTTCGTACAATATACTCGTACACGGTGACCGTGGGGACGATGTATGTGATGCAATGTTGGTCAAGAGTTCAGACCCTGAATGTGCCACTCCTAACAGAGGTCGTGACCGTGCCCGTGTCATCCTCACTCGCAACAATGGCATGACCTCAGACACTCGATTTGCCAATGCCATGGGATTCCTCAAGAATGAGCCATTGGCAAGCTGCCCCCAGATCCTCCAGAAATATCAAGAAGCTGAAGATTGAAGTTACTAGTCTATTGCATTCCTCTATAACATGTAAGCTTCAAATGTTGTATTAGAACTTGATGATGGTGTTGTATCGTCTTTAGGGAATCGTGATTAATTTAATGTGTTGTTATGTAATAGCTTATTGTGCTTTGACTTCAAATATTAAGATTGTCACAAGATATCTGTTTTCTACGTCTTGTTTTTATGAATAAACATTGCGAAAAACATTGCACCACATAACTTGCTGGAAATTGGAGCCTGTTTGTAGATTCACTACCGAGATATTCTTTTTAAGAATTATAGTTGTGTATCTGTGTAGGTCATTAAGGGTGGGGAGATTTTTACAGCATAGTAGTCAGTGGCGGAGCTAAGATTTGAACCGATCTACGGTGACAGATAAATTTTGATAGAAAGGCTGATCTACACTTACAACATGGTGGGGGCCACTTTTTTTCTAATTGTTTATTCACCTAGGGCACATCACTGTGAGAGGCTGTCAAAGCCTCGATCACTTTTTTTTTTACTAGCCAGCTTTTTCCGTAAGATTTTTACTAAGGCCCATGTGGCCCTGTTTATGTAGCAACACTCTTCAAACTTTGTTAGCAGAGTAGAAGCAATTGTCAATTGCTAGATGTCAAGTTTATGCACTCTCCTTTTACCTGCATTTCTTTTTATTATAAAATAGCGATACTAGTTATCTTTGCTTATTAAAAAAATGATAATAAAAAAAGTATTTTTTTATGATTTTTACTTTAGGCATTTTGAATTCTTACATTTAGCTATTGTCTGTAGGGTTCTCTTTCTTCAAGAGTCAAATAAGATCATTTTTAATTGAAGAAAAATGTGATTTTTTTTAAATTTTTTTTTTATAGAAATGGTTAAGAGTAACCCTGTTTTATGGTCATTATAAAGAGAAATTGGAGAAAAATAATATTTTTATTTTTTTGAGGAATATGTGAAAATAATAATTAATATAGAGTCTATGTATCAAGTACTCCATGCACAAATGGTCACCGATCCCAAGCCAATGCAAGCCTTAAGCAATGCTCTTTGGTCAAATTTCTCGGGGGTCGACGACTTCCAACCATTGCATAGTAACAAGTAGTTCGTGTTTGTAAAGGGTCTGAACATAATGTTGAAATTTGAAGTGCTTTGGATGATCTATCTTTGGGCTTGTTTGACATGATCTTTCGAAGGTTAAAACAAACCTTTAATATTCAAAAATTGCTTTTGGACTTGTTTAATTAATTTTATTAAAATGATTCTTCTAACCAGAAGAGTTCTAAGAGAAAGTCGACAGTACGTGATTTACTAAAAAAACTCTTCTAGAAGGGAAAGTTCTTCTAAAAATTAATTTTTAAATACTAATGACGGTAGATTCCTTAAAAAGCTCTTTTACAAAAAATAAAAGCAAAACAAAATTCCTACCATAAGGACCTTAATAGTTTAAACTCAAAAATTCAGTCCCCGTTTGGTATCGATTAAATTTCAAATTCTAATTTAAATCAAAGTCAACAATCAATTTTACAAGAATGTTTTCAACTAAGGGTGTGTTTGGTTACATTTATTTTTCATGAAAAATATCAGTTTTCCACCCAAATTCATACTTAGAGTGTTTGATTGCTTTTTTTTTTATTTTATGAAAAACATTTTCCAACTTTTGAAAAAATACTTAATTTTCCTTGTTTTTAAGGAAAATATTTTCTTTGGGTAGAAGTGGTTTTTATTTTCCACAAAAAATGGGAAATATTTTCTTTTCTAGGTAATATTTTTCATATCAATCAAACACACTAGATTTTGATGGATTTTAGAATATTATAAATTTTAATGAATTTTGTAGATTTAAATAGATTTTCACAAATTTCATAATAATCTCATCAAATATGATGAAATTTCAAAAGATTTGGTTGTATGTATTTTTTGGATTGACATCCATCCAAATCTTTTAAAATTTCTCTTTTTATGCAATCTTTATAAATCTATTATTTATTCATGATATCTAAATTTTAAAGGATTTTATTAAGTTTAATCAAAATCTCAATTGAGAACATCTAGGTTTTAATGGATTTTATTAAAATGTAAAATCTCAATTGATGACATTTAAATTTAGAAGAATTTTTAAAATCCATCACAATCTCAATCGATGACACCGCCTTTAATCACATATTTCATGGGTCGTATAACCTTTTAACCACACATTTTATCAATTTTTAACAAAATCTGCTAAAAAATTGATTTTAAGATATTGAAGTCTTCGATACGTCAAAAGACTTACCAAGCAATCACATCTCAAAGGTTGGTGTATTGAATGAATCACCATCTTCCACGTCCATATTAAGGTAAGATCCTACATTCCTTAAATATGAAAAGTTTTAGCCTACAAGGTATGCATCACCAATTTACTTCTAAAAAAAAATGAAGATTGACATTTTTAGAGTAAATAAAAAACTCATTATGCTACAAAAGTCTAAAAGGTACCCAAAAAAATATAATAATAAAAATTGATCCATCTAAGGCTCGAACAAGTTATTGAATTCCTAAATTGATATTTTCAAACGAGTCACTATACTGTAGAAGCATGTTAAAATTAGAGTCTCACATCATATAAGTAGAAAGCATAATAATTAACATAAATAGTTGAATTTTCTAGACACAACCTTAATACAAGAAAGTCTTTTTCTTTGAAATATCTAAAGAAGGCCTTTTGCATTTGGCTTATCCTCGTATTTGACGAGGGCACTTTTCTATCTAATCTATGATTAAAATGGAGAAGCAAACAGTATTCGTACTCAATTGTTACACGTCTAATAAAACATTATAAAATTATTACTTTTTATTTGGAAATAAACTTTTTATTTATTTTTACAATAATTAGTATAGGCCTCGTTTGATAGCCATTTTTTTCAAAATGCGTTTTTCTCTCTCTTCTTTTCAACCACACAATATTTATTAAAATAATATTATACGTAAATAAAAAAAATTTCCTTATTTTTCAACTACACATTATTTATTAAAATAATATTACATGTAAAAAAAAAATCCTTATTTTTCAACCACACATTTCACATGAAATTACTATTCTAAAATACATTTTTACATAAAAATAACTATCAAACACCCCATAATCAAAATAAGTAATAAACCTTTAACTAATCAACAACTAATTACTTAGATCACTGTCTATCTGAAATTGACACGATATCATTAACTCGTCAATCACTAAATGATTACTTTTAATTGGCAATATATTTCTAACAATCTCACGAATAATTTAAATACCTCTATAAATCAAGTAAGAGTAATACAATATATTAATCATATGGATTAATTCACACATATTTATCATGTTCGATAGAGAGATTACCTATAAATACTCAAAAACGAAGATAATATAATTTTTTTCTTGTTAATAATACTTTATACCAAGATATAGGTGGTACATAACTCTCAATCGACTCGTCTCACACACGTTTTTTGGTAGAGAGGATTGCCTATTAATACTCAAAAAAGAAGAAATAGGTGATATATACTCTCGACTAACTCGTCTCACACGTGTACCATTTTTGGTAGAGAGAATCGCCTATCAATACTCAAAAATGAAAAAGTTAATACAATTTCTTTGATAGCAATACTTTGTACCAAACATACACATGGTATATAAGTCTCGATCAACTTGTTTCACACATATACCATTTTTGGTAGAGGATTGCCTATCAATACTCAAAAAAGAAAAATATAATTAAGATTTTTTCCTTAACAATACTTTGTACATCTAGAGCAATGTGTCCCATGGGACATGAATTCTGTAGTTTATGTGAAAATATGGATCTCTCAATATCTACATCAAGTTTTACATAATAGGTTACATAATGTCACATGTCACTTTATCATTTGCCAGTTTAAAATGTAATTAACTTTTTCATTCAATATTTTCCCTCTACATCATTTATATAATTCATTATGTACCATTTTTATGTACAAGTAGCAAAATATCAAAAATATATGGAGTAAAATGTTGTTATTCACAAAGGGGGAATATATGGAAAATTAGCTAAGAGGGGCCGGCCAATATTGAACCGTGTATCAACCACTAAACAAAACATCCTTACTTTCCCCGAAATATTTGGCGGCAAGTTCTGATTCCCATTCGAGAGCTTCAAAACAGCAATTTAGCTCAATATTTCAAGAAAGAGAAAAAGTGAAAAACGGACCTAAAATAGCAAATATTAAGGAAACAATATAGAAAAAGGAAAAAGAAAACCACAAAGTCAAATACACAAACACAGAAATTCATGTGTAGAGAATATCAAGAATCTTGAAAATTTTCATTCTGTATAAACATTAAACTTTGGAAATCCAAACAAATATTGTCGTTTATGAGGGTCTGAAAGTATATATTTTAAACTTTTTATAACGAATGAATGGATAAATGAATGAATGTTGTCGATCCGATGACAAAGGCAACCGGCAGCAGTTCCAGTAGCCCCACAAGTACGCCGGAGAATTCTGTAAAAGGTGAAAAGAAAAAGAAGGTATCTTTTTTATTATTCATTGTTTTTTCTTTAATATTTCTGCAGTTCCTTTTAATTAATTTCAGGATATTCATTTTTATATTTCCTTTTTTGGTGTATGAAAATCGTGCAATATTGAAGTCTATTATTCCAAAGATTTTTGGTTCAAAGCAAGATAGCAGAGAGAATTCAGAAGAGGATATTGCTCAATCAGATGGAAATGAACAAGGTTTGGCGTTTCTTCTTATTCTACACTATTACAAAACACGTTTTTAAAGCATTATGATATTAATTTTTCTATTTTTTCATATATTTTTGTTTAATATGGGTTGTTTAGGGACAGATATGGATTCAAAGACTACATCGAGCAGGCAAGCATTCCTCGAGGCCTCACACTCCACTACGAAAAGTTTCGGACGTATGAATTATATCAGTATTATTCGTTGCGATATTAATATATTTTTATTGCATTCTGCATAATTCCAATGATATTTTCTTTAATCATTTAAACATTAGCTATCATCATATAGATTCTCGAATGTTTAGAAATTAATTTCTATTTTATGCAGTATTTTATGGGTGCATGCCACGTAATTAATGATGATAAATTCAAATAATTAAATCTACATACTTGCCTTGTCTGCGTTTTGGTAGCTTACCTAACAGATGACTAAATTCCATTTGATTATTGAGAAGATATTCATTGAACTTACCAGAAAGTAATATAGTTTTTCACATTTATAAATTGACCCTTGTGGCCTTGAATTGAAAATTATATAATTTAATACATATAACATGGAAAATAAAATCCATGGTAGAACTGATTTCTTATTCCTTCTCAGAGCGACATAGTAGCGCCGGAATTGAAGGCCTAAATCTGTCGAATTTTGATCAGCCGATGTCACCAGCAACAATAATTCAAGATATTCGGTATGAATTACTTATAATTAATCAGATTATTATTATTATAAGTAGATTCTTTTATTTTTTCGCAGCTAGGTTTAAGTTTCATAAAAAGTAATTTCCCTAATAAATGTAGGGTTTTTGTGGCAACATGGAATGTTGGAGGGAAGAGTCCTAACCATGGACTCAACCTTGAGGATTTCTTGCAGGTGGAAGGCTCTTCAGACATATATGTATTGGGGTACTCTATATTAACTTAAATATTGTATATTTCATCTTTTAATATGCATTATAGGCATTAGATAATTGATGGAGAATTGCATGTCTAATAAAATTGAAAATCATGCGATTATACGTTTTGACGTCATAAATTAATTTCATGTTACATGTATGCTCGACTTGATAATATTCAACAAATAAAGTCATGATTTTTGTGTTACCTTACTAGTATCCAATACTCGATGCAGTGAATATATGCATTTTGTAGTGAAAAAGGAATATCATGAAGCATGGATCAAATTAGGTCCAAAACTTATCAATCTAGTCTAACTTTCGTGTTATGTTTGGTACACTGGATTGAAAAGCGCTAGATGGAACATTGACAATTTCGTCACAGAAGTCTCTGCATTCATCCAATCCAATCTAGTTAATAGTTCTTAGCCTAATTGCTTGTGTATTTTCAGGTTCCAAGAGATTGTTCCCTTAAGTGCTGGAAATGTTTTGGTTTCAGAAGACAATGAACCAGCAGCAAAATGGCTAGCCCTAATAAGCCAAGCACTCAACAAAACCTACCATGATTCAATGCATTCTTCTGATTCAAGCCCTAATTCAAAACACTCAAAACCAAACGACATTTTTCATAAGCAATCTTTAAAAGCACTCAGCAAGAAACTTAGGGCAGACAATGATCTTCTTAAAGCCTGCAACTGTTCTTGGGACAATCCAATGTCAAATAAAAGGAGGGCAAGAAAATTTAGTGACCCTTGTGCTTCACCTTTTGCTCATAGTGATCCAAGTATAGATGAATTCCTGTCAATAGCAGAAATTTCATTGCCTAAATGTTTGAATTATCATCTTATCGCAAGCAAGCAGATGGTTGGAATTTTTGTTTCCATATGGGCTCGAAACGATTTAGTTAAAGATATTGGCCATCTCAGGATTTCTTCTATGGGAAGAGGAATCATGGGCTATCTTGGCAACAAGGTTAGGTTTTCTTTAATATTCCCTCTTGTTCTAGAATATATGTTGGTGAAAATCAAATTTAAATGATTAAATTATCACCCTCTTACACGATAAATGGTTTAAGAGGAGGCAAAAGTCATGATTTCAGTTCGTGCAGCCACCTATTTATGAAAATTGTAGAGCTTTTGATTAAAAAAATGTGTTCTTTCCACAAGTGAAAGAGCATGTTTAAAACTAAATGAGTGATGCTATTTGTAGTTGCTTACTGCTATAATCGCCCTACGTAACATACATGTAGCGGTTCACGTAGGACAACTGCGGTAGTGAAGAACTGCAAATAGCATTATTCAAACTAAATATAAATATATAAATATGTTGCTGCGTTAATGGCTTAAGCTTATGGACGAAATGATTCAACATATAACTTTATATTGAAGTGGTCAACAACCAGAAACTTGCATTTACCATATGCTTTCCATAATGATGCACTTATTGACTGGAAAACAATTACTCCACTTAAAACTTGTATCCACAAGTCAAATGAAAAATGAATCTTGATACCATTAGCTTCATTTTACGATGATTTATAAGTTAGGTGAGTGCCATGAAATTCATTTTGCGAAAATCATTTTTATTAAGACTTAATTATGATAAATTGAAAGTTTTAAATGATAAGTAATATAGTGGACTTCCAATTTAGAATAAGCATTTCTATTATGAAGACTTTAATGACTTGATCTTGGTATAACATGTCACAAAAGAGAGGTAGGGTAGATCAAATCACTCGTGTACACGCACCCGACGGGAATTACTGTCAAGAATTCATGTATTTGATCTAAATTTATTGATAAAAATGCTTAGTTTGGTGTTGTTTTTACTTTGAAGGGTTGTATTTCAATAAGCATGACTTTGCACCAAACGAGCTTTTGCTTCGTATGTAGTCACTTGGCTTCCGGTGAAAAGGAAGGAGATGAGCTGAGAAGAAATGCCGATGTAGCTGAAATCCTCAAGGGCACACAATTCTCCAGAATTTGCATGAATCCCAGTCGTGGAATTCCCGAAAGAATTATTGATCATGAGTAAGTCGTATTAACTTACTCCAATAATCATTTTTATCATATAAACAGCCCTTTGTAAAATAATTATTACTCTTTTCGATATTAAGAATTATTGTTACCTTAAACCCAAAATTTTCAGCCGCATGATATGGCTGGGGGACTTGAATTATAGAGTGGCTAGCAGCTATGAAGAGACGAGGCTTCTATTAGAGGATAATGATTGGGACTCTCTTCTAGAGAAAGATCAGGTTGGTGGCAATTTATTAATTTGGTTTGACTAAATGAAATGAAAAGGACTTTTGGGAAAATACAGGTCAATGGACAGCTAATGTGTTCATAAGTCTAAATGGCCCCATTAGATCATGAGAAGTCAACAACTGAATTGATAATGTGATCGAATCATTTATGAAAAATCATGTTTGACAAGTTTAAATTAAAATTTAGGATGGTAAAACACATTTATTTATTTGATGAGCTCATAATTTATTATTTATTTTTTATTCACACATTGAGTGATGCTTTTTTGAAAAAAGAGAAATCGGGACAGAGCTATAGAGTTGACAAGATTTTACTTTCTTTTCTATCGAATTCTTTTATCACTTGTAAGCATCATTCTTCCTTAAGGACAATGGATAAATAAGGATATGTGATAATTATTGGAAATGATTGGACCCTGCAGTTGATAACATCATTTTTTTTCC